ACCACATTCCACCCTTATCCTGATTCTTCAGCAATTCAGGACAAGGAGTCGCAACCTTTGGGGGATTGGTCAGAGATTGGAATGATTTGTCTCGAAAAGATTACAGGCTGTTGAAAGATTTACAAGAGTTATGGGATGAGGGACATATTTCTGAAGAAGAATCAGTAGAGGAGTATGAACCAATGTCTCTGAGGTGAGACCGGTTCAAACCTAAGTCAACCACGTTTCCACCCTTATCACAGAATAAGGGTTCTGAATTTTGTAAAAATTGTTAGTGAGGATATCATGATTATGAAAACCTCTGATAATAGAAAACAAGATAATCTTACAATTGAGTGAAAAGTGACTATGGATGAATTGCAGAAGAATCGGGATGTTGTTAAAAAACCTGCAGATAAGGGTTGAAATGTAGTGATCATGACAAGTAAGTATTATGTTGAGATGGTAATGAAAATTATAAAGAACAGAGACTGGTACGTACAGGTGTCTGAATCAGTACCTAAGGATCAGCAACATGAGTTGTTTGAACTTTTAGAGGATGCCTGTAAAAACAATGTGCTAATAATAAAAAGACCTGTGATTTTTTTTGAAGGATCAACACCCCAGGGTGCCAGTATGCCCTACCTAAGATACACAAAAACTTATATAGACCCCTGGGTAGACCAATAGTGTGAAGCTGTTGCTCCCTTATGGAGAATATCAGTACGTATGTTGAGTTCCATTTACGTCTTCACATGGAAACGTTGCCATCTTATATTCGTGATACCCCTCATCTAATTTAATTATTAGGTGGATTGGAGGTTCCAAAAAATACTGTATTAGTCAGTTTTGACGCAGAAGCCCTTTACTCATCCATCCCCCACAGCAAGGGTCTTAGAATGGTTGAGCGATTTCTGAACACTTTAAATATTGCTGAACATGATCATAAAAGATTCTTATTTTGTCTGCTACAATTTCTGTTGACACATAATGTATTTATGTTTGATTGCTACCACTACCTCCAAGTGCAGGGCACTGTGATGGGGTCTAAGTGCAGTGCACTACATTGTATGCCAATTTGTACTTGGGGGTGGGAACAAGATATCTGGACGATCTTGCTCTTTAGCTGTGCCATATTTTAGTATGGTATAGGTAGGGGCGAAATTTTTGTCATATGGACCAGTACATAGGAAAAGTTATTTAAATTTTTTTGACCATCTTCATGGGAATTATTTAAATTTGAAGTTAACCATGAAAGTAAATTAATATGAGCTTCCATTTTTGGATATTGTGATATGCAAGGATGAGAAAGGAAAGTTATTTATGAAATTGGTTCGAAAAAACACTGCTGGCAATACCGTTTTGGAGGTCAGCAGTGCTCATCCTGTAGCATCCTATGTATGGTATCTAACAAAGTATACCGGTAGGACAATATCTGAGAATTAGACGCAATTGTTCCTTAGACTCAGATTTTAAAAGGGAAGCATGTAACCTTCGTAATAGATTATGAAAAAGATGTTATAAAGACAAATGTTTACGACGTGCATACCAACTAGCTAAATACATTGACAGAAGATGGGAATGCAACAGGTAGAAAAGATAAAAATATAAATGAACAAAAAGTTAGAATGGTAATCAACATAAGAAGGTCTCCAACATTCTGTCAAAGCATTGGCACAATTTAAAGAAAGACACGAGGATCTCTAAATGTATTTATACGCCTAGTGTGACGCATAGGAGATGTCCATCCTTACGTGACAAATTGGTCAGAAGTGAGTATACTGGCAATAGAACAAAATAGAAAAAAATGTCTGTTGAAAATAATATGGCACATATCAATGTCAGAAATGTACAGCATAATGTGTAAATGTATTAAGGTGGGAAAGGCTCTTCAAACCCCTAGGGGACAGTATATTACATCAAAACACTTTGTCAATTGTGAGACAGAAGGAATAATATATTTACTCCTGTCAGTGTGACATGTATTATGTTGGTAAGACGAAACATATGTTTAAGAAAAGGATTTCTGATCTTATATAACAAATATAACATCATGGAATATGAGGTCCTCAGTAGCAAGCCATATGGCCCAACATCATAATGGTGACACTAATAAACTGCATTTCTTTGTCCTGGAAAGTGCATACGAGCAATCGGGGTGGAGAATTTGATAAGACTTTACAACAAAGAGAGTGTAGATGGATCCATTGCACAAAATCTCATGAAGCACCTGGGATCAATGATGCCATTAATTTTAGTTGCTTTCTGTAGTAAGTCCTTCTTTGAGTCCTAGGTCCAAAAAATCATGATTGTAAGGATATAATATTGTTCACATATGGGTGTATGTATATATAATTGATAGTTATCATGTTAGAAATGAAAGTATCAAATGGCTGTAAGAGTGGTTAAGCATCCAAAAAAACCTCTCAAACAGAGAACACAAACAAAGTGCGCCTCTCTTGCGTAGAAGTCTTTATTGATTAAAAATAGCCCTCTCCTCATCCTGGATTTTATCTATGCCGGGCCTTCCAGTCGCTTTTCAATAGCAGGCAATGCTGTTTAGACAGTGATTGGACATATTGGCCCCGCCCCTGTTTTCTAATTGGATTAGGGGTGGGGCCATAAACCACCTGCCTCGCTTCAAGTATTTCACCACCAGATTACTGGTAATCATGTGACTTAGAGTGAAGCTATACTGCCACCTAATTGTTTAATAAGTGTACCGCCGGATTGCTGTCGGTCATGTGACCTTTTGATTGGCTTACATTCTATTGGCCTGTTGATTTTTGTGACCTGCCATTGGCAACAGTAGATTGGATGATTTTTAAGATATCTTACTCCCAGAGGGAGGGTGGTGCTAGATTCTGAGGAATGTGACGTGGCCCCAGAAATGTATTAACAGAGACTGACATGCAGAAGCATGTGTTCTCGGGTCTGCATAGTTCATGCTGTGGCTGTTCGGATGTCCTCACAGCGCTGACGAGACATCTGCTATTAAGGCTATCAACTAATAGCTGCCTTGTGATAAAATGTCTTACCTTTTTATTTTTAATCAATAAAGACTTTTACACAAGGGAGGCGCACTGTGTTTGTGTTCCCCGTGTGTTAGATTTCCAGTTGCCCTTACTGCTAAGGTGCCGCCCACTTGTGGAAGATCGCTCTTCCTGTACCCCCTAAGGATGATGTCATTCTGGCGCTAGTGGTATCTACTATTTGGTGTTGTTAAAAAAAGAATGGTTTAATAGATGTTGATACTACCCGTATATGCTCATTGTTATGATTAGGTAGTTATACATGAAGTAAAGTTGATTATTTGATTATCTGATGTAGTTTTCCAAGTATACTAGTTACTATATTATATTCAAGACACAGAGAGCGCCTCAATCGCATAAAAACATTTTAATAAACGAATAAAAAAATGGTATAAAGGTACTCACAAAGGATGAATAAAAATAGGCATAAAAGGGTCAGAAAAGGGTGCATATCCACCGGCTGTTTGTCTTCCCTGGTAGTGAAGTGGTTTACGCGTTTCAGAGGTCACGAAGCTCCCAATTGGTTCTGAGGAAGGAGTGAGTACCTTTATACCATTTTTTTATTCGTTTATTAAAAAGTTTTTATGCGATGCAGGCGCTCTCTGTGTCTTGTCTTATATTATATATGGTTGAAACGCAAAGAGAAAGGTTTTCTTCCTGTTTACACACACTATGGAACGCATCTTACCCCAGAAACCTGTGAAATTCAGGTAGAGGGAGGTGCAGATAAAAGTCCGAATAGAGAGATTTTTCAGTCCCACTCCCCTCTGAGAAAGCACGTTATGGGAGTACCGCGTGGACTGTTATTCCAGCCTGCATGTTGTGGAGACCTCCTGGCTAATTGTTTACCTATAAGAATTAACATCTGAGAGACGAGCCAGCAAATGAGTGGATCATACAGCAATGCTGATTACACATTTTCACAAACTATGGAGTGGAATATGCCTGGACTCAGCTAAGTATAGCTAATTGTGTCCTCTGCAGGACTGATTTCTGCTGTGCACGTATTCAAGTAATGTTCTTACACATACCACCCGGGTTGGTCAGAAACAATATGTTTCACTAGAATTATCACTATTTGCCATTTCATGGACTTGTTGCTACGATCTACTGTATATGTCCCAGGCTGTGCATGATATTCTAATAGTGGGGCTGTGACTATCTACCTTGCAGATTTGCTGCTTTGAGCTTTTTGCTCTTATGTCTACATCGGTTTCAGCCTGTTTGCTTTATGTGGTTCCTTACCTGGATTTCTCTCCATATATCATGTGTACACACGCTTGAGGACACTCAGTTATAAAAAAAGCGCTATACTTAATTAATAAATTTTTCTGGTTAACAGCGCCATTGGTCCAAGCTGTCCAATCAAAAAAACGAAATCGATGCCTCAGTAGTGGCTCACCAGTCACGAGCAAGTGAGGGACAGGGAGGCTCCTTCCTGTCTCCTCCCTTCCTCATCCCCAGACAGCTTGGTTACCGAGTTGGGGGCAGGGCTTCGGTGGGATGGGGCGGAGCTTCGGCGGGGCGGGGGGTGCCTCACCCAGCACAGAAGGCACGGCACGTCAATGGAATAGTGTAGGAATTAGATAGGAAAGTGGAGTCTCACCTCCATGACCCTGAAAATATATTTGTGAATACAGTTTTGTGCATTGAGAAGAAAGCCACAACTCTCTATAGTCACTCATAGTGGGATTTTGAAGAGGATAGTAAAAAAATGGGAGGCACTGAGGTGGTTGTTGCATAATTTTTTTATTCCACTCACTCTTGCGTCTATTCCTGCTGGATCAGTTAACTTGGGAATTTACTTTTTTTCCGGCAAAATTCTGCAATATTTTAATTGTAGATGGCACTAACTTTTACACTGATTTAAAGCTATCTATGTACAATGAATATACACTGAACATGTATGTGTCACAAGGAAAGTAAAATATTGGTTCATAAGTTTGAATTTCAGGAGGATTCCACTTCATCCTATTTATCTTTGTCCACTGTTCCAGATCATTTCCACCTTCCTCCTAGAATTCCTTTGCCAGATCTGGGAACCTTAGCGCTATAGAATAAAAAGAAAGTATAACATACACGTAACATAACATACAGTATATATACACTAGAATTATTAGAATATATTTGCACACATTATTCAGACATATTACACTAATGTGATATTAGATACTCAGACCTAACACTGACCAAATATAACCAACTAAAAAGGCTTAAATTAACCTACTTTAATTTAATGTCAAAAGCACACAAATGCTACCATATTGGAAAAAGTCAGTACTATTTACACTATGCTGCATGGTGGACAAATAGAGTGCTTAAAGTGCTGTAGCTTGGTAGTGACTGGTCTGCAGATAAATAAATTATATAACAATAATAATTAATTTCACATCTGAAACCTCTCTTCACATCAGAGCCACCCTTTTTCACATTAGGAG